CACACACACACCCATCCATCCATCCCCACCCGTCCCCGGCAGTGGAAGTCTAGCTTTCTAGCTTGTCTCCCTCCGCCCTGGCTTCCTCTGGGGAGGGAATGCAGGGACTGGGGGCGCTCCCTGCTGGCCCAGACACTTGCGCTGCCACCTGTCCTTTCGGGAGCTGCCTGCCTGTGGTCTGGCTGTGCGGCTGGGTCTCCTGTGTGGACCCCGAGGTGAGGCCAGGCTGGCTGGGTGCCCTGTGAGCTGGACAGGGTGGCACAGGGCCCGGCGCACACTCCTGCTCCCAGCCACCGTCTGTCTCGTCCTCAGGGCGCGGATTTGTCGCACGTGTTCTGTGCCAGGGAGGCGGCGCCCGTGATTAAGTCCTACAGCCCGGAGCTGATCGTCCACCCGGTCCTGTGAGTCTCAGCTGCACTGCAGGGGTCTCGAGTGAGGGCCCAGCCGGTGACCGTGTCCCGCAGTGAGCGGGAGCGACACAGTGACTGAGCAGAGGCCCTGGGCAGCCTGTGGCCTGGGCAGCAGGAAGTGCCATGGTGCTCGGAGGCCGGGCCAGGAGGACCCGTGGCACTGTCACAGGACCCTTGCGTCCCACGAGCTTCCCGCCCGGGCCTGTGCTGCCCGGCGTCTGCACTGGGCAAGTGGCCCTGGAAGTTGGACCTCCTGGAGTGCTAGCGGCGCCCCTGCGCGGCCCAGCACGCTCCAGCGTGTGGCCGGGGTGGCTCGGGACAGGGTCTCCCCCTCGGTCCCATTTTGACGGCCTCTGTGCATGTGTGCGGCTGCTGGTCAGGGCGCTGGCCCTGTGCCCATGAACTGCACCTCAGGGTGGGGCTGGGAGGCCCGGCAGTGCGGTCCTCGCGTGTCTTCTGAAAATCTAGATCGGTTTTCAAAATCAAATGCCGCAAGAAGCAGACAGGCGAGAGCCTAAGGAAGCCTCTGCCCTCTCCTCGCACAGGGACAGCCCGGGCGCAGCCCAGGAGGTGGGGGTGTGGCTCCCCCGGCTGCACGCCCTGGTGGTGGGGCCCGGCCTGGGCCGAGAGGAGCACCTGCTGGAGCACGCTGAGGTGAGGTGCGCCCCGCCCCGCCCCGCCCCTGGTGCCTCCTGCCTGGCCCGGGGCGGGCTCCTCTCGGGTCCCTGCTGGACCCGTAACGCCGGGCGCTGGGAGCGGTTGGGTCAGTGGGAGGCCGGCGTTGTGACTGTCCCGGCCGTCCCTGCACCCCCTGGGGCCTGTGGGAATCACCACTGGCAGTGTGCGGTGGCGCTGGACGCAGCAGGGCCGCTGTCACGGTGACCTGGGCTAGGATGGGGCGCTGTGGGCGCCGTCCTGCCGTCTGTCTCTGCCGCTGCTGTGTGACCTCACTGCTGCCCGTCCCCGGCCTGCGCTCACAGCCCAGCGGCCCTGTGTCACGGAGCGGCAGGTGTGTACATCGGTGTGCGCACACGCGCACGTCTCTTCCTGCTCTCATTTATTACCGGAAGTTCATTTTGTCTGTCTTTGGTGTGTGTGCGGCAGGCGCTCACCCCCGAGCTCGTGCCCGCCCCGCACCTGAGCAAGGGGTCCTGGGACTGCGCGGTCCTCCCGGCCCGGCCTCCCTGCAGCGCACTGTGGGAGTTTCGGCCCTCGGCGCACTGTCCCTGTGTGGTCTGTCCGTGCCCCCCACCACCGCTGTGGGGCAGGGTCACTGCCCGGGGCCTCGCTAGTGACCCCGCAGCACAGCTGAGACTCCAGGCTGTCACCAGCGCCGCCCACCCCGGCACAGAGCACGTGTCTCCTTTCATGTTCTCTTCCTCCGGCACTGCGCTGGTGTGGATTCCCGCGGCGTCGCTCTCCATAGACTCGCAGCTCTGTCGCCTGGTGCAGGGCTCTCCCGGGCTCTGCCTGTCTTCCTCTGCGCCGTGGCCTGGCCGGTCTCCAGGGCTCGGCTCATCTTGTTCCTGTCTTTTGGAGATCACTGTCCTCTGTGGCCCAATGTCCTGTGGTTTTTTTGTCTTGTTTTGTTTTTTATTTTATTTATTTATTTTTTGGTCTTTTTGAGACAGGGTCTCAACATACAGTTCAGGCTGGACTTGAGCTCACTTTGTAGCCCAGGCTGCTCTTGAACTTGCAACAATCCTCCTGGCTCAGCCTCCCAAGTTCTGGGATCACAAGCGTGCACCACCACGCTTTTTTTTTTAAAGATGAACAAATACACATTAACAAACAAACAGATAAGCACCCAAACAGTAGAAGCAATACAGAATTTCAGACAAGGTGATAGGAAATGAACAATGGTGGTTGTGTCCTGTGTTTTGAACCCTTGCTTCACGCATTCTTCCCGGTTTTATGCCTCGCGGGAAGACAGATGTGGCTCGTTGTTCCATCCTTGCTGCTTTCTGAGGCCGATGAGCAAATAGAGGGGGAGATCTTCGGTCTCAGACCAGGCTGCTATGACAGAATGCGTCGACAACAAACATTGCCTCCTCCCAGCTTGTGGCTGGGATTTAGAGCTCAGTGCGGGAGGCTTGGCTTCTTGTGATGGCTCTCAGGGTTATGGCCTTACATAGCACTGGGGAGGGGTCATTTTTTGGTGGTACTGGGGATCGAAGCCATGGCTTTTGCTCTGAGCTACATCCCTACCACTCTTTAGATTTTTTAAAATTTGAGACAGGATCTCACTAAGTTGTTAAGTTGCCTCGGCTGGGCTTGACTTGCAGTCCTCCTGTCTCAGCCTCCTAGAGCACTAGGGATGTAGGTGTGCACCGGCTGCGGTCCTCTTTTCATATGGGCATTGATTCCCACATGGCAGGTCCGCCCTCATGACTTGTAACTGCAGCCGTCCCTCCGAGGCCCTGGGTTCAGTCCCCTGACTGCCAGACAAGCAAGTATGGAGCCCAGACGCTGGTTGCGCACTGCTCCTTCCTGAGAGGCTTTCTGCCATCCTCATTTCATTGTCTTCATCCAGTTTCTTAAGAGGAGTCGTGAGATCTGCCACATCAGGTTCTTGGAACTGGAGGGGTGCTGCTTGTTTAAAATCCATATTCCAAGCCCGGTGTGGGGGTGCATGCCTGTAATCCCGGCACTCAAGAGGCTGAGGCAGGAGGATCACCGTGCATTCATGGCCAGCCTGAATTGCATAGCAAGACCCTGTCTCAAAGAAAAAAGTGCGCCACCACCTGTCTTCATTGAAACAGACCAAATTGTTTTCTCTAAAAACCTTCGATACAAATATGTCCCACCTAGGATCAGGGGAAGGAGAAGCGGACTGTTTCTTTGTGTGGGGAGGCATCCCTTTGCCTGGCGGGTCTGTGTGCCCCGCAGGTGTTAGTGGCGCTCTCCGGGCACCTGCTGCTCACCACCCTGGGGGAAGACAGCGCTGGGCGTGACCAAGTGTGGGTCTCATTGCCAGCGAGCGTGTGCGGTGGTGCTGTGACGCATGGCAGGCCCAGCCTGAGGGGCAGTGGTTGAATGACTGCCTGAGGCCGTCCCAGGGCCTGGCCTCCTCGTGTCCACGAATTCACAGCATGCTGAGCATGGTGCCACGCTTGGTGCCTGGGTGCCTGCCGTGCTCAGCTGGGGCCCTTGCAGGTGACGAAGGTCTCAGCACCTGGTCCCCAGGGCTCAGCACTGAGCAAGAGGCGGCCAGAGAGGGACCGGCCACCGAGGCCTCGCCCGTCGGGCTTTTTCATCCGCATGGCCCAGGCAAGGCTGGGGGAGAGCGGCATGCAGAGCCGCGGTGGCCAGCAGCCCTGGGTTCTAGCCCCAGCAGCACAGGAAACAGACACTGGCCGGAGATGGTTTTGACTGCCCTCCCAGTGCTGCGGTCAGACCTTGGATCCTGGCTGTGCCCAGGGCCTCGGGGAATGGAGGACCCTTCTGGAGCCTCGCAGCCTTCCTGCTACTTCGGATGTTGAAGGTTTTTCTTTCAAGGGAATCCTGGAATCAAGAGGAGCTGGATTGGGTGAGAACTGGAAGGCAATAATGGAGACAGCCGTGCACAGTCCGTGGGTACCAGGAGACGCCAGCCCCTCAGCAGTGCCCATGCCCCACCTGCCGGAAGGAGGTGCACCAGGCAGTGCCAAGGGTGGCGGGCGAAGAGAGGACTTGGTGAGCTTCCGTCCAGGGACGTGGTCTGTGAGGCAGGCACGTGCGTGCATGCATGTGCGTGGACCCCTCTGAACCACACCAGCACCACCAGCCCAGCAAGCGGCTGAGGGCTTCAGAGGTCTGTGACACCCACACAGCCCTCGTGGCCTGGCGTCAGGAGAGGTCTGAAGCCTCTAACGGCAGGAGCGTCCCCTGGGGCTGCACACTGCACGCCTAAGTCCCGTCTTCCTCGTCACTTCCGGCTGGGGCAGGCCTTCCCGGTGCTCGTGGGCGGTCCTGGCGCACCCGTGGACACCTGTGCTCCTGCCCTCCCGTTTCTGAGGACAGGCTGCTTCCCGGAGAGGGGAGGGTCTGCGGTGAGGTGATGTGGCCGTGAGTGCACTGCCGGCTGCCGTGTCCTTGTGAACGGCTGGGTGGCGCTGGGCTCGCTCGCCTTACAGTTCCTCCCTGGAGCAGTCGTCGCCCGCCGTCCCACACAGCACCAGCCCCTGCCCCTCAGCCTGCCTGCTCCAGCAGCCACTCACAGCTTCCGTCCCCGCTCTGCCCGAGTGGCACCCCTCGAGTGGCACCTGCAGCAGGGGTGTCTGTGACGAGCTGTCCGCTCAGCACACGTCTGGTGCACAGCATGGAGACTGGGCCCTGCTGCTGCTCGGCTGACCGGCCTCTGGTCTCTGGGAGCCTCGGGTCGCGTGGACAGACCGTGTGACCTGAGCCTGCCCTTCCCCGCGTCCTCGGTCTGCGGTCCCGTGCACTCCCGGGGGTTCTCCCCGACACGCAGGCGCTGCAGAGCTCCGGGTACGCACGGTTACTCTCTGACAGCGTCGAGTGAGGGCTCAGGCTGTGTCCGCCACCCTCCTGCTGGCGCTGAGCGGGTGAGTGTGACGTTCTGCGTCGGCAGGTAGGGTGCGCTCAGGCGTGCCTTGGGCGCATTTGTAGGGCTCACTGAAACCAGCTTGCCCAGACTGCGCTCCCACCGAAGCCCCGCACGCGCAGGTGCTGCTGTCCGCCTCCGCGAGGCCTGAGTGCCGCTCGCTGAAGCATTCTCCAGCGCTGCTGCTCCCCCGGGGCTGCTGTCTCTGGGAACTGAACAGGAAGGCGGCGCCAGACGCCAAGTACTAGGACTACCGCGTGAGAGGCGGGGCTGAAGTCAGCGCTGGCACAGCCTACCCGTTTACCAGGGACACCGAAGGCACATTCGCCCTGTTAGGGAGGGACGTGGGCCTCCGCGTGCCCACCTCCCTCGCGGCTTTGCAGCGGCTCACTTCGGCGGCGGTCCGGGCGTGCAGCGCTGTCCGGAGCTGGAACCTCCCCTGGGGCAGAGTGGGTGTCGCCACTGCGGGCGCCTGTGTTCTCGTGGTTCACTTTCACTGAGCGGAGTTAAGTGACGCACTGACGCGTGCGCAGTCTTACAGCTCGCGGGTTTTTTCAAGCACAGATCATGGTACTTGCAGCTGCTGTATGTCGACTTGTCGTAATGTGCTGGTTCCCAATAAGAAGGAACCCTGTAGCCAGGCGTGGTGGTGCACACCTGTCCTCCCAGCACTCGGGAGGCTGAGGCAGGAGGATCGTTGTGAGTTCAAGACCAGCGTGGGCCGCAAAGTGAGCACAAGGCCAGCCTGAACTGCACAGAGAGACCTTGTCTCAAAAAGATCAAAAAAAAAAAGAAGGAACCCTGTATGGGTTACATACGTGTGTCTCCTTTTTAATAAGCCTTTAAAACTTAAAAGTACAAGATTAAAGTTGGATCAAGAGAAAAATGGCCCTGTTATTCCCACCACTATAGTGTGAATCAATATAGGGAAATGCTCCGTGCTGACGACTGGGGAGCTTCGGGAGTGGAGTGGCCTCCTCTCTGAGCCCTGCAGCCGTGTTCACTGGGAACTGGCAGGCGCCAGGTGGACGGGTGGGCAGCTGGGCCCTGCTATCCCAGGGCTCTTCAGCTCTTCCTCCCTGTTGGCTTTGCTCCCTTCGGCTCCCCTCCTGTGCCCCGCTCTGCCGACAGCCCAGCGGTGCATCTCAAGGTGCTGCTTGGCTCACGGCCCAGTGGACTTTCTTTGGCAGGGTGTTCTGGAAGCCGCGAAGGCCAGGGACATCCCTGTGGTCATTGACGCGGTGAGTGTGGCCTTTCCTCCTGGCACGGCTTGCACAGGGCCCCGCCGTGCTGTCTGCTGAAGACGCCCCGTCCTGCGCAGGACGGGCTGTGGCTGGTGGCCCAGCGGCCGGCACTCATCCTCGGATACCAGAAGGCCGTCCTCACCCCCAACCACGTGGAGTTCGGCAGGCTGCACCAGGCTGTGGTGAGTGTGTGCCCGCCGCAGGACAGGCGCCCGGCTCCTCACGGCAGTCCCCACGCTCGTGCTTCCGTGTAGCGACCGTGTGCGTGGGCTGTGGCACAGGCTCGGGGGCAGCTGTCCCCTCTGCCCTGAACGGGGACAGTGATGACACCTGCTCTTCGGGTAAGGACGGAGTGGGAGAACGCATAAAGATAAAGCCAGCTCTTTACACAGGAAGTGTCCCCAAGGGTGGTCATTATCAGATTTTGTCACACTCAGAGACCTTCGGGTCTGACCAGCCGGAGGACAAGCACCGCGTGTGCACTGGTCACAGGTGACACGCAGGCCCCGTCTGCACTTGGTCTCGGACTGGTGGCCTGGTGATCCCCTGGGACAGGAGGAGGGGCAGGGCTTCCCCGTGCCTGGGCTGTGCAGGAGGACTTGGGACGCCTGCTGAGTTCCTGTGTCGCCATAGCTCAGCGGCCCTGTGGACAGCACTGACCCGCGCGGATCCGTCCTGAGGCTCAGCCGGGCCCTGGGGAACGTGACAGTGGTCTTGAAAGGGGAGCACGACCTCATCTCTGACGGCCAGCAGGGTGAGCAGGCGACAGGTGCTGGGAGCCGGAGTGCGCGTGCCCTCACCTGGGCTTGGGTCAGGCGGCCTGGGCTCTGGGCACTGGGTCACGTCCACCACAAGAGATGCTGGTGGGTCTGCAGGCACGGCCGGTGTCCCCAGCCTGCCCTCTCCTTCCTAGCCTGCGTCTTATTTCACGCAGTGACCAGGACACGGGGGACCCTTGCCGCTGACAGCAGTGGGACACGGGGAGCAGATGGGGATGAGTGGTGGCCTCACCCTGGGTGCAGCTGGTCCTCGCGGACGGGCAGGGGCCAGGGCCATGCTGTCCCCCCAGGCCGCGCTCCTGGCTGCAAGGATGCACCCAGCCGGCCTGACAGCTGCGTGCAGGGAGCTGGCAGGAGCTTGGCGATGGCAGAGGGGCGCACATGCACACACCCCGAGCATGGGAAGCAGAGGGGCTGTGCTGAGGGCCCTGGCATCGTGGTGACGGGTCCTGGTCACAGGGGACCCCCACACTCACTTCCATACCCCCAGCACAGTCCACTGACCTCTCAGCCCTCGCAGGCACCACACGGGGCCCAGGTGCTGCTGGCCATCCCGGAGGGCTCGCGGCGGTGGGCCAGGGCTGTGGGCACTGCCCAGTGCCCTTCTCAGAACCGTCCCCAGCTGGCAGGCTGTGTGCTGCCCGCATGCCTGACGTCCACACTCGGGGCCCTGACTGCTGTGTGCTCCGCAGTGCTCGAGTGCAGCCTTGAAGGCAGCGGCCGCAGGTGCGGAGGACAAGGGGACCTGCTGTCGGGCTCCCTGGGCGTCATGGCGCACTGGGCCCTCCTCGCTGGGCCGGAGAAGACAAATGGGTACGGACTGGTGCTGGCGGTCTCTGCTGTGTTCCCCATAGCTCAGGCATTAAGTCTGCCAGACGCAGTCAGGGTGTGGGAGGTGTCCAGGGCAGAGCTTGCCCGCCTGTGATCCCAGCACTGGGGAGGCTGAGGCAGGAGGATCTTTGCCTGACTCATGATAATGAAAACAAGAAAAGCCAGATCCCCAGGGGGAAGTCGTCAGGTGGCCGTGGGCCCCTCTCCCAGCTCGGTCCCTGGGTCTCGTTTCAGCTCCCGCCCGCTGCTGCTGGCCGCCCTGGGTGCATGTGCGCTCACGCGGCAGTGCAACCACCAGGCCTTCCAGAAGCACGGCCGCTCCACCACCACCAGCGACATGATCGCCGAGGTCGGGGCCGCTTTCCGCGAGCTCTTTGAGGCCTGAGCCAGGGGCGCAGGGGCCTCAGGGGCATCTTCCCCTGTGCCAGGCGCAGCCTATAGCCTGGCAGGCGGGGGATGAGGGGTTTGGGGTGCCGCAGCTTGTGGGCACTGAGAGGGGTGGAAGAGCCAGGGTGCTGTCCTGCCTTCCTGCCTTGTGCCGCTGAGAACGTGAGGGAGACGGGGGTTGGGTCTGTCTGCTTCCCCATCCCGGGGCCTCGTCCTCACTTGCCTTCCGGGCTCTTCTCGGATCAGCCATCTGTTTGTCAGGGAGGTCCCCAGAGGAAAAGTAAGTGTACCTGGAGGCCCCGGGAGGCCCTGTGTGGGTGCGGCACGGTGGCACAGACCTGCAGGCTGAGGGCCACAGGCTGAGCCGGGAGTCTGAGCCCCCACGCCCCGCTGTCCTCGTCCACACACTGGTGCGCCCCCAGGCGCCCCTCGTCCACACACTGGGCGCCCCCAGTGTCTCAGCTGAGCTGTGTGATGACCACATATCTGGGCAGTGGTCAGCGCCGGCTCCCAGGAGGCCAGCGGGAAAGCCGTCACTGTCATTCAGCCTGACAGCGGCACACCATGTCTGCTGAGGAGAGGGGTCAGTGTCGGTGCCCGCGGGGCCCCATGCTGCGCGGCCCCAGCAGGGCTGTGGTTTCTGGCTGATGAAGCCTCTCACCCTGGGCCGGTACTCCGCTGGCCACACTGGATCATTCACAGCTCTAAACTCACTCGGCGAGTCCGGCGGAGCCGGTGGGGTGGGGGCCGCCCTGCGGAGCTGCCTTGGGCCGGCCGGAACCCTGGCTGCTCTTGGCCACACAGGCTTGTGTCTTCGCAGCAGCGAGCTGGAGCCCGCCTTGTGCTTCTGAGTGCCGAGTCGCTCCGTCCATCCATCCCTCGGCAGTGACCCTTGTGGGCGTCCCCTTTGTGAGGTCACTAAAAGGGCAGGCCTGAACAGTTGCTTTTTCCCGGGGAAGTAAAGTTCAGCAGTCACAGGAGTGCGTCTTGTTTCTTTCTTTCCGTTTTCTGAGTTACTGCGGCGTCCCTTCACTTACAGCAGGGCCCGTGTTTACTGTGGCTGGCTGTGCTGTCCCACCCCTTGGCTGTGCTTGGCCGTGTGCTGCTGGTGCAGCTTGGGTTTCCAGGCAGGCCTGACAGGAGAGCACAGCCCAGTCACTCTGGCTGCCAGGACACAGCCCGACCCCTGCAACTTCAAGGAGAGCTTTATTTCAGCTCAGTCTAGAGGTCTCAGTCCGGTCTGCTGGCCCGAAGGCATCAGGGCGAAGAGCGGAGAGATAACCCCTCAGGCCATACCTGCGACCACCTTTCCGGCCCAAAGCCTGTAGACTGATCCCGCAGTCGGCATCCCCTTCCAAAAGCGCACAAGCCTGTGGGACTGTCCACGTCCGCATTAACCACAAGGGGTGGTGGGACGGGCCTGGCCTGCAGCCTGCAACCTGGGCACCGAGAAGGCGGCACCGTCCCCTGCCTGTGCGTCTGGCCTGTGGTGAGAGGATGCCAGGCCAGGTGCAAGGCCACTAAGGAGCCTGCCACGCCCTGTGCCACCACACTGCACCCCAGGGCCTCGCCACAGAACCACCTTGGGATGCGCCCACCGTGGCACAGCCGCTCACCACCCCCGAACTCGGAACACTGGAGCCCCACGGCCCACGCAGCCCCCAACCCCATGCTGCCCCACCACCCAGCTAATGGTCCCCTAGGCTCCCCCAGCCTGGGTCATCGCTGGGCACGGGGCCTGCGGGTCACATGGGCCCAGTGTGCTTGGCTGGCTTGGGTCCACTGCGCTGCCGCCAGGGTTCTACACTGAGCAGTGGCCCCCGGCGCCAGGTCGTGAGCTGGACAGGGTGACAGCAGACACCGCCGGGGCAGCACGGGTTCACTTTATTGTGATGCGGCTAAGCACCACATGAAACTTGAAGTCCTCAGGGAACAGCAGGGCTGCGGATGCGGTGACGCCTAGCCAGCCGTCCTCAGCCTTCCGGCTTCTGCAGCATTGTCCGTGGGTCCAGCAGCTCCCAGGTGGAGGCCGCACTGCTTCTGTCCTGGAGAGAGTACGGGAGGGTCGTGAAGGGAGGGTCACGTCACCTCACTCCAGCTGCACGGGGGGGTGGCTGAGCGGGGAGGCGGGCATACCCGGCCTGAGCTTGGTGACCCAGGTGGCCGATGCCCTCCTCCCCCTTGCACCTGCCATGCTGGCCCCTCGGGCGTGCGATGCCGTCTGGGATGATGCCTGATGCACAAGGAATGTGGCCGTGCCCTGGCGTCCCTGCTTGGGTGGCAGCGCTCACCTTAATGCTGATACCGCGGGCGGCAAGGTCCTGGCGAAGTGCGTCACACGCGTCCAGCAAGGGCTGCCTCTCCCGCAGCTGCTCTCGCCGGGCGTCCCCGGTGGCCGTCCCTGTGTCCAGTGCAAACTGCCGCACCTTCAGCCGGAAGCGCACCAGCTCGTCCACCACGCTGTGCAGGGCGGCTGCGCTGCCATCTCCTGGAACACACTGAGCAGGGCACCGTGGGCGAGTGCCCGGCCGGCTGTGGCACCCCAGCCTGTCTTTCCTGGTTCCTTGGAGGTGACCCTTTCAGGCACCTGGCAGGGACGTGTGGCCCAGCTTCAGAGCCAAGCTGACGCTGCCTGTCAGGCTGGGGACGCACTCCCTGCTCCACCATGGTGCTGGGCACCCTGAGGCCGGGAGGGGCTCGGAGCTCTGGCCCCACTCCACGCTCAGCTACAGCTGGGGGACTGACCCCGGCAGCCTGCTCGCCGCACTGAGGCATGAGCCAAGTGTGCGAGCACGCCGTCGCCTGGTGGCCAGCAGGCCTGCGAGCAGCTGAGCAGCCCCGGCACCCCGTGAGGACCCGGCTTTGGCAGGGTTCTGGCCCCCTCCCTACCAGCTCAGAAAGGGCGGCTGTGCTGTGCAGCATGTGCTGAAGACGCTACAGCCCACAGCATTTTCAACTTCAGGGCTGAACTTCCTCACCCTCATACAAGCCTCACTCTGCTTCCACCACAAAAGCTGACTTCTGTTGTAGAGAAAGTGTGAGCCCATGGCGGCTCAGGCCTTGACCTGAGGCTGGGAGACGCACCAGCTGCTTGGCCTGGAGACCCAGGCCCAGCTTGGCCCTTTCCTTACTCAGCTGCAGCCTAGAAGCCACGCCCACAAATGTGCACTGCACCAGGCATCTCAGGCTGGAGACGGCCCCTGGGCACGGCCAGCAGCCTCCACGCTGGGAGGCATGTAGAGCAGTCTGGTGTGGCCTGCACAGCCTGGGGCTCAGGAGCGCAGAGGTGAGGGGGCAGGGAGGGGGGGGCCACACGGGGTGACAGCACTACAGGAGAGGACGTGGGGGCGGGTGGGGTTCCTGTGGGGCTGGGGCTGAGCCCGGTCTCAGGCCATGCAGGTACGTGGAGGAACAGGTTCCTGCATAAGTGCACACGTGTGTGTGCGCGTGCCCGTGCACACAGCAGGGGCCCCACTGCCAGCTCCGTGCACCATGAGGCCTGCTCACAGCGCCAGTCCTCCCCTGCGACCCGGCCGGCGGGGTGCAGCCTGGGCCAGGTCCCACAAGGACACTGGGGCTGTGGGGCACATCGGGGACGGAGCGGGCCCTCTGAGGGCTCCGCCAGCTGTGCACCGAAGGACGGTGCTGACTGAACGCGGGAGTGGAAGGCCCAGCCCGGCTCTGGACAGCAGCACCGGCAGGCACCGCAGTGCCTTGCAGAGACTGACAGCAGAGCTACACCGCAGGGGCCCCACGCCAGCAGTGACAGCACTCGGTCACCCCGGCCGAGTTCAGCGCCAGCAGCTCAGAGTGCTGTTGACAACATAGTCAGCCACGCCAGGAAGTTCGTGGGGTGCGGTGTCCCTCAGCTGGCACTGTGCAAGGGGAACGGCTGCGGGGCGACTACAGCAGGCCCCGGAGGACGATGCAAAGAGGACCTGACCTACCTGCCGACTGGCCAGAGAGAGCCCCACGGTCTCGAAGAACTGCTCCACGTAGGCGACGACGGCACCCAGCACGGCGGGGCTCCTGGGACCCCCAGGGCCCTGCAGGAGACAAGGGGTTAAGCCGGGCGTGGTGGGAGCACCTGTAATCCCAGCACTCAGGAGGCTGAGGAAGGAGGATCCTGGTGACTTCAAGGCCAGCCTGGGCTAATACAGCTCAGCGGCACAGCGCCCGCCTAGCAAGCATGAGGTCAAGAGTTCAATTCTCAGTACCAAAAAAATAAGTCCAGCGTTTTTGTTGAATGAATTAAAAATGAACTACAGAGCAAGCCCGTGTCTCGGAGATAAACAGAGGGGTGCTGTGTCAGGGCACGGGGTGCTGGTGGTCCCCTCCGGGTGGCCTCAGCTGCTGCGGACGGAGGACCCCAGCCTGTTTGGCAGCCTGCACAGCGAGGGTGTCCCAGGCAGCCCTGCCCCAGTTTCCCCACCTGTCACATGGGGTGATGTTGCCACCTCATCACCAGGCTCTTGTGGGCATGCAGTGTGGGGCACAGTGGTGGAGAGCTTCTCAGTGGGACAAAGGGACCCTGAAGGCAGCGGCGGGGGAGGCTCACTCGGCCTCGCCTCCTCCCAACGCCCTCCACGCCCACCCCTCCCTAAGAGGACCCCACTGGCCCTGGCAATGTGGGACTTAGGGAGATTCGGCTGTAGCCAGGGAGGTCTCCGGGCACCACAGCTGTGGGCTGGGCCCACATGGACCTGCTGGTCACCCTCAGGGCCCAGCACCAATTCCTGCACCAGCTAGGACCGCCCCACAGACTCACGAGGCCGTGACCCCACGGACCCCAATGAGCCCATGCCCTGTGTTTCCCCTGTGCAGCAGAGACCAGGCCCTTATGCTGTGTCGGGCACTCAAGACCCCGGCGGCACTGCAGGACAGCGCCCCAGAAACTTGTCACAGACGCTGCCTGCCGGTCCCACCATGACCAACGCAGCTGAGACCTGCGCTCTGAACCGCAAAGCCCACCAGGCCCCACGGAGCCGTCCAGGTGGTGCTGCAGAGGCAGGGAGGGTCTGGCCAGGATGCCTGTTTTGCTCAGGATGGTCTCAGTGATGTCCACAGCCCTCGGCTTCTCCTGTCCTGCGTGGTCACAGGGCTCCCAGATAGGGGTCCCCAAGGGCAAGGACCAGCCCTGGCCACCCAGGACGTGGCAGGAAGACGCTTTGGGTGTGCACAGGGAGCTACTGTTTACCTCCCCAGCCTGTCCAACACCCAGGTGCCCCGCTGCCTAGGGGCTCTGCACTCAGCCTGGGTGCTCAGTGACACAGCTGTGGACACCAGCACTGGACTCCCAGGTCTCCACTTAGATGCCTTCCTCTACGGAGCATCATGAGCAGAGGGGACAGCGAAGCTGTCATTGCTGAGGGTCAAGTGTGCTCTGGAGAGGTGGACCTGCTGCTGGGTGTGTCTGCCAGTCCTGGATGTGAGGCCCACGGGTCTGTGTGTGGTCCCTGCCCCCTTCTCTCAGGCGCCGTCCTCATGCCCTGCTTCCTGTCCACCACGCTGCTGGCTCTGCAGTGGAGAACCACGGACTGAACCCCTGAAACTGTGAGCCGACTGAACCTACCCGCTAGAGCTCGGCATCTCGCCTTGTGTCTCGTCACGGGAAACTGACAGACGCACACGTGATGCAAAGTGCACGCAGGAACTGGGGTCCTACCCGTGTGATGTGTGTCCTTGGGCACTGACAGCCAAGGCTGGGGCGTCGGGGGCCCCGTGAGGTGCACGAAGCATGAGGCCCAGCACGGGGAGGGCTTCAGGGAGACTTGGCACCACCAGCTCAGGACACTGGTGCTGCAGAGCAGCGAGGACAGTGGCTCCTCCTGGGAGAAGCTCTGAGTCCCCCAGAGTTACCTCAGTGGCCACCCTGAGCTGCCTGTTCCCCAGATGCACGAGGTCCAGGATGGCGTCCACCGCCCTGGGCGTGTCGAAGTCGTCGGCCAGCGCAGTCCTCACGGTGCGCTGGGTGCTGCTGAGCCTGCGGAGAACCACGGGGAGTGCTTTCCTGTGCTGGAGGGACAGGGCAGCAGCCAGGCCCGCGCCCTACTGGCCTGACTCCGGAAATGGGAGCCGCCTGGCCTGTGGGGACAAGCAGCACCGACTCACAGCAGGGGCAGGGGGACACCCAGAGGCGGCTGTCATGGCACAGGCCCAGCAGGGGCTCTGGGATGGCCCTCCAGCCACCTGCCCCGACAGCCGAGAGTGGCCGTGCCGGTTAGTGCCATGGCGCCCAGGGGACCAGGCCGGAGCGGTCCTGTTGCAGAGTCCGAGAGACCTGAGCCACAGCCACGTCCTTCCAGCCCTCGCTCCACCTTCCCGAGAGCCTGGAGGCCCCACCTCCCCAACCCTGCAGGCACTGCTCCTGCGCAGGGCCTGTCCTGCCTCGGCCTCCCTTCATCCACCCGGCCTGGGCGCGTCCTGTGCCTCCAGCCCTGGCCGTGCGCTCTCTCCGTGCTGGCCACTGGAACACTGTCCCCGCGTCTCCCCACTGTCCTCATGCCCTGTCTGCCAGCCCCTGCACACTCGGGGACCAGGCCCCTGGACCTCCGAGCCTGCAGGGGCAGCAGCACGGCTCACACACGTGCTGCCCCAGGCCACAGTGGGCACAGCCCGCTAGGTCCATGGGAGGAGCTGCCCTTGACCTGGTCCATCCCCACCCCCAAGCCCCGTGACCGTGGCCCGTGCCCCCTCCGCTCCCCCTTGCACTGCCCCTCTCCTCTGCAGTAGCGGGGACTGGGCACAGGCCCCTCACACCGAGCTAATCCCGACCCCCGCCCTTCTCGAGCCCTCGAAGTAAGTTCCCAGGCGGGGCTCAGAACTGCGGTCCTGCCTCAGCCACCCAGTGCTGGGGTGGCGGCTGCACACCAGGCCAGGCCCTCTCAGCTCCTTTAACGCCCTAACCTGTCCACAGCCCTGCCAGCCTTCCTCTGCCTGGAGCCGTGGAGGCCAGGCCCGAGGAACCCCGGCCACTCCTGGCCCCCACCCCTCGCCAGGATGTCCACAAATAGCCCGGACCGTGACTCTGGAACGGCGGCCGAGCCCGGCTTCGGGGAAGGCCTGCCCTACCCCACCACTCACCTGTCCCACAGCTCAGCTTCGCTGACCGGGCCACCTGCCAGCTGTCCACGCATGTAGGCGCGTGCGTCCTCCACGAAGGAGGCCAGGCGGCGCAACACGTGACCGGCTTCCAGCATGGTGCTGTCGCTGTAGTCGACGGCTGCAGAGGATGTTGTGGCCGCTGACCAGAGGCTAGCGGGACACACGGGCCCACCCAGAACTGGTGGCCCGGGACCCTCCCAGACTCTGAGGAAGACGTGCATTTCCAGCGGCCACTACCACAACAGCGCTCACCATGGGCTGCATCCTGCCATCCCCAAGGACTGTCCTTTCGGAGCCATTAAGAAAAGGGTGTGTGTGAGACAGCGTCTTGCTGTGTAGTCGGGCTGGCCTTGAACTCACTGGGTAGCCTAGGCCAGCCTACAACTCCCTGCAATCCTCCTGCCTCAGCCTCCCTAGTGCTGGGATGACAGGCATGCACCAGCACACACACCAGGGTCACCTGGCCTGAGGTGCAGCCGCTGCTCACCTGAGCGGTAGCTGCTTCGCAGGCAGAAGAGCCGGAAGACATCAGGCGAGAAGCTCCGAAGGAAGTCCTGGAAGAAGCAGCGCTCAGGTCACCTGGGGTCGCCCAGGCCTGCAGCTCTAAGGTGACTAGCGGAGCACAGCGTGGGAGAGGCCAGAGGTCCCGGTTTCATCTCTGCTCTCAACGTCACCACCTGCCCTAAGGCCCTGCCAGCGGGGCTCTAGGGGCCTGGGGTGCTGTGCCCGGGACACCATGGGAAATGGGCCCGCAGCTGCTCGTTGGCCTAGGGACCACGTGACCTGTGACTAGGTGACTTCAAGACCTATCAGGGAAGCGCTGCACACAGGGAGGAAGGAGACAGGGTGAGCGGCCTGGGAAAAGCTCAGTCAAAGCTGACCCAGAGCAGGCTGTCAGCCACGCCACTGTCACAAACACGCACTGAGTGGAAGGCGTGGTGGTGCATGCTGTCATCCCAGCACTGGGGAAGCTGAGGCAGGAGGATCGTTGCGAGTTCAAGACCAGCCTGGGCTACAAAGTGAGCTCAAAGCCGGCCTGAACTGCATAGTGAGACCCTGTCTCAAAAAGACAAAAAAAAAAACGGGCTGGAGACACAACTCAGTGCAAAGGCCCAGGGTTTAATCCCCAGTGCTACAAAAAACAACATGCTGGGTGTGGTGGCACACGCCAGTCATCCCAGCAATTAGGAGGCTGAGGCAGGAGGATCCCCAGAAGTCTGAGGTCAATGTGAGCCACATAGCAAGACCTTGTCTCAAAAAAAAAAATGAGAGATAGAGATAGAGGCAGAGATGGGGACAGAGAGAGACAAGACAGTGGGAGGGAGGTGCAACTGGCCACGCCCACTAAGAAGGCCACACCCAGGCTTACAGAGACCCTGAAGGCGGGGGCTTCTGGGGACTCCGGGGCCTGGGGTGGGAGGTGACCTCAAGGGAGGCCACAGGGAAGGGGTGGGCGGGTCTCCCTGGGCAGCCCAAGCCCAGCAAAGAGACAACGGTACACGGTACCTTGATGGTGATGTAGTTCTTCAAGGACTTGGACATCTTCTGCTCCTGGCCCTTGACGTGCAGGTGCCCTGCAACGGCCCGCGCCTGAGCCAGCTGAGCAGGAGGTCACTGCCCGCCGCCCGGACAACTGCACCGCAGCCTGGGCTACGGTGACGGCAGAGCCCACGGCTCAGCACGCACCGGGGTCATGCAGGAGCACCTGAGGAGGAGGGCAGCCGCCAGGCAAGTGTTCTGCGTCTTCCAGTGAACCCCAGCCACCCTGGGGCCCAGAAGGGACAGCAGAGCCACCGCTGCGTGGCAGCGTTTCCCATCTGTAGTGTAGGACACTGGTGGTGCCCGCACATGGGACAGGACAGGCCGCCCTGTCGCAAGGCGTCTCCCCTACCCCTCCCAGCCTGGGCGGCCACACCTGAGTACCCAGAGGGCGGAGAAACCACGCCCACTCGAGCCTGGGGCTCCTCCTGGATGACACTGGGTTCACAGCCAAGAAAGGCCCTGCTGTTCCTCAAAGAAGATGCCTCTGCCTTCTCTAGCCCAACCAACCTCAGGCCACTAAACCCAGCACTGGGGAGGCTGAGGCACGAGGATCGCCTTGAGTCCCAGGCCAGTCTCGGCTACACAGTGAGCCTGTCCAAAACCAAAGAACCTAACACAACTTCAAGTAAGGGTGCTCTGGGACTTGTTTTTCTAAGAACTGCTTAAAATGCACCTAGAAAGCAAGATAATCTGAGCACGTCATCCTGCGTAATTATACAGCCACACACAACTCAATGTTTTAAATCAACAGCATCTGAAAACGACCCCACTGCTGAGGTCAGGATGTGTGTCTTCCGGGACTCACAGGGAAGGGACAGCATGTGCAGGCGGCCGGGAAAGCCAGGTGGGTCACGCGTGGCGCGGGGCCGTACTGAGCCGCTCTCTGTGCTGTTGCGAGCTCCCTGGGCCGTGCTATGTGAGGACAGGCGTTGCTTTAGCTCGGGCTTCCTGAGCCCTGGGCACGGGCATCATGGGCAAGGCCCTGGAGGGTGGCATCTCCACAGTGGTGACAAGACCTCACCAGAGACAGGAAGCCAGGAGGGGTGGGGGTCCCCGGAGAGCCACTTCCTTCCTTCAGAGCACAGGGCTCCAGCATGCATGGAGCTGGACACTGAGCTGTGTCCCCAGCCCTCTCTGGTTTATTTTCAGACAGGGTCTCACTAAGTCGCTGAGTTGTCCATGCTGGGCTTGAACTTGTGATCCTCCTGCCTCAGCCTCCCCGAATGCTAGGACTACAGGTGAGCAACACCTCTTAAATGTCCCCACCTCAGAGAGCACCAAGCCCCCAACAGAAGGACCTGTGGGGACACACCGGGCCCCGCACCGTCCTGCCGTGCACACAGAAGCAGGCACTGGACAGAGGTTGAAGCGGGGGCAGTGCCCACCACACCCAATGCTGCCGTGCCCGGGGGCACTTCGGTCTCCAGCACAGGCCGCTGCACTCTGTGGCAGCAAGCCTGGGTCTCAGTGCCCCTCGAGCCTCCGCAGCTCTGCCCCCTCCCCGGGCACTGCTACGTCCTCACCGTGAGGCCAGGGTGTCCCCTCCAGCTCTCCCCGCCGCTGGCACGTCACTGCTACAAAGCAGCCTGTGCTCCCAGGCCTGGCATCTCACCGGCCCTGCAGCAAAGGCCACACAGTCCTAGAGCACAAGCCACACATCGCGTCCCCTGGGAGAACGGCCACCGGGCGGCCCTGCGTGCTCCTCCCGTGGCCGTGAGCGGCCCGAGCCCCGAGGGACACGCTGGCCCGACCTCTGGCATCACCGAGGTGCACAGCTGGTCTCGAGGACCGGGTCCCAAGAAGAGAAAGCTTGTCCGCCCCTCCGAGCACACAGCGCAGACAGACGGGACGTCCGCGCAGGGGACAACGCGGAGGGCAGCAGGGACTCGGGTGCTGCGGGCTCGGGGGCTCGTGCACCCGCCCAGCAGCATGGTGTGCCCCAGCGCTGCGCTCTGAACAGGCCTTCCTTCGTTTGTTTGTTTTCCGAGACAGAATCTCTGTGTTCCAGGCCGTTCTTGAACTCAGTCTGTAGCCCAGGCCTCACACTCAGTGAGCCTCCTGCCTCAGCCTCCCAACTGCTGGGAGCACAGGTTTGCACACCATGCCCGGCAGAGCAGGGCCTGCCTCACGAGCCACACCTGCTCCTGAGGGCCGGGGCTCTGGTGGTCTGCTCTGCCCGTGTACAGTGATGCCCGCGCGGTGAGGGCAGGCCGGCTGGGAACAGGGCGGCAGCTCAGTGGTGGGTTTCCCACTCACCCCAGCGCACCTGGGGAGTCCCAAGGCCCTCCGGTGAGCTTGCGCAGTGCACCTGGGAAGCTACTCGCTCCGGCTGGGTCACCTTTCCCACCCAGCTCTCGACAGACATCCGCCTTCCCCATCCGTCCAGCCGGCCAAGGGCCCCACGCCCCAGTGTACTGCGGCGCTCACCTGCGTGCAGGAAGTAGTTGCCCCACTGTGCGCACTGGTGGAAGGCCTCGCACTGCGCAATCTCGTTCTCGTGGTGTGGGAAGGCGAGGTCGATGCCGCCTGAGTGCACGTCCAGCTGGCTCCCGAACACCGCGCTGCAAGACACCGGCCGGGCGCCGTCACCAGGGCCCGGGCGCCATGGGACGTCCAGAGTGCGCTCAGGACAGGCTGGCGGCCGCGGCATCGGGTCTCTGAGAACAGAGCAGCTCTCCGCGTGGCTGAAAACCTCACCGTGTGGCCCGGCACCCGCACCCCACCCGCACAGGGCGCCTGCAGCCCACGCTCCGTGGGAGGACCATCAGGTACACAGTGAGCACTGAAAGTGCGGAATTTGTCCCGGTCACAGACGCACTGCCACAAATCCCCTCACAGCCCTCCTGTCGGCCACACGTGCCCCACTGTTCCCGCCTTTCTGCAGCAGCGAGGGTCTCCAGCTATGATCAAAAACATGGTGATGCTGCTGCCAGGCGCCATGCAACGGAAAGGCAGCGCGTAAAAACACGACGCGGTGTCCTCGTCCACTTAGTCACAGATCTGGCACCGTGTGACTCCTGGCTCCTCCAAAAGTCATAATGACCACAGGGGGTCAACTAAAGACCCTCTGGAGAGCGGGCTCCAGAGCCGCTGCAGGAAGGGGCCGGGGCGGCGGTGAAGGCACTCAACAGCAAGGCTGTGCAGGGGCTCGGGGCGGAGCGTCTCGTTCTGTAATAATCGTCTGCATCTGAAAGTCACCCTGTTTCCGACCAGGCCTCTGGGTGACGGGGGTCCTGGGTGAATAATGCAGACCTGGGCCAGGCCGTGCTGCCATGTGGCCGCCCCCCCCCCCGGAGGTCTCTCAGGGCCAGGCCACCTAGCTGCGTCCACGCCACGCGGGGCGGTCCACGAGCCTGGGCTCCGAGTCGGGAGACAGAAGCGCCCCGGGCTCACCTGGCGATGGTGGAGCACTCGATGTGCCAGCCGGGCCTGCCGCGTCCCCAGGGTGAGGCCCAGGACACCTCCCCGGGCTTGGCCGCCTTCCAGAGCGCAAAGTCGCCTGCATAGCGCTTGTCCGTGTCCACTGCAAGGGCCAGGGCTCAGCACGGGGCGCTGGGCCGCCCCACACGGCGCGAGGACGGTGCCCCGGGCTCCCGCTCTTCCTCCCAGGACTCTGCCCCGCACTTGTGCTCTGTTCCTCCCCACGTGAGCCAGGTCCCGCTGTGGTGCCCCAAGGGGACGCAGACCCACAGCTCCCGGAGGCTCGAGAACACCGCGACAAGGACTCGGAGCCGCGGGACTCGCAGCGGCAGAACAGACGCACGAGGGTGCGACCGGGGCAGGGTGGACGGGGTCCACGGTGCACTCAGCCTTGTCACCTGCCTGCTTCTGCAGCCACACAGGGCGCCACACCGACCAGCTTGCCGTACGTGTCCCCTCTGGACCTCAGATCGAAGTAGACGTTACCTGTTCCAGAGATGGCAGTGAAGGCACCACATTTGGGAGTCAGAGCCATTTCCAGTCAGGTCTGGTAACTAGCAGGTAACTAGAGTTCAAGTTGACAAGCCAGGCGTGGGAACACTCGCCTATCACCCAGCACTGGGAAGGCTGAGGCAGGAGGATCTCCATGAATTCAAGGCTCACAGTGCCTTAATCATGTTTACGCCACCATTAAAAGTTTATAATGAAACAGGAGGAAAGGGGTCAGACAACATTTACCCCTCCAGGGATTGGGCTGTGACCCGGCCACATCTGGGTGCAGGCCTCTGAGCCTCACCAGGCTACAGGACAGCAGGAAGAGGAACAGCCCTATGCGCTCTTAGAGGGAGGCCCTGCCTCGTCACCTCAGCCCTTGTAAAAGGTTTCTGAGCTGGGCGTGGTGACACACACGTTTGTCATCCCACGACTCTGGGAGGCTGAGGCAGGAGGATCACAAGTTCCAGGCCAGCCTGGGAAACACAGCAAGGCAGTGAGACCTTGTCTCAGAAAACTAAAAGGGAGGGGCCATAGCTCAGCTGAAAGCCCTGGGTTCAGGCCCCAGTACCAGAGAAAGTTTTCTCGGAGATGAGCTCCACGTATACCCAACGATCAGGCAAGAACTCTGGGGCAAGTCACAGCCCGGCACACACCTCGCTGGGGCAAGCACCTCCCCAGGGCCTGCCCGGCTCACGCCTGGGCTGGGCGGCCAAATGATATGTGAAATGGGAGCAGAAGGTTTTGGGCTTTTTGTTGGTTTTTGTCTTATTGAGACAAGGCCTCGCTCTGCGGTTCAGACTGGCCTTCAATTCACTGTAGCCCAGGCTGGCCTCAGGGTGATTCTCCTGCCTCAGCCTCCGAGTGCTGGGATTACAGGTGTTCGCCACCACGCCTGGCTCAAAGGCCAAAGGTTTTTTTTATTTTTTATTTTTTAAATTTTTTTTAGGCCGAAGGTTTTTATGGTCCGAAAATTTACAGTCTAGGTGGGGGAAAACCTGACTCCCATCAGCAGCAGAGCGCAGCAGCCCAGAACCGGCTGCTGCCCAGTGCACGCAGACCCCAAGGCCGGAGCAGGACGCGCGGCTGCGGACAGCACACAAGCCCCTCGGAGAGGTGGGGCGCAGGGCCGGACGGGAGGGGTGGCGAGGGGATGCCCGCATGCAGGCAGGGAGGAGCCCAGGGCCAAGCGCCCTGTGGAGAGCGGCGCCCGGCCAGGAATCGTGAAGTCCACGGGAGGGAAGCACAGCGAGCCTGGCGGGTCCAAAGGCCACAGCCACACACGGCAAGGTCTTGGCTCCACTGTGGGCACGCGGTGGCCACCGAGGGCACGAGTGTGAGGATGCGTGGGGCTCCCGGGGCAGGGGCAGGGCGACTGCCTGGGGACGCGGACAGCGGCACCCCACAGACAGGGTCCAGAGGCCCTGCCACGTCCCTGCACGGGGCTCTGCCCACAGACGCCCCCATCTCCAGCCCCCTCGCCCACGGCCACAGGGTACAGCTCTGCTGGGAGGGCCGGTGCTGCGGGGACCCCGGAACACAACCCCAGCAGAGCCACCCACACCTCTCAGCAGTGCTGCAGCAGTGGTACCTCTCTCGGTGGCGTATGCGTGCCCACGCGCCATGATGCCTTGGATGAAGGAGACGATCTGCGGAATGGTCTCCGTCACTCTCAGCGACACAGTGGGTGGGAGCACCTGCGGGTGGGCGGGGCAGCACCCCACTCTCAGGGGCCCAGCGGTGGCTCAGCCACCCCGGCCACCACTGCCCCGGAGGCGCCCCCTGCACTGCTCCCAGCACACCAGAGACAAAGCCCAAGACGGAGAGGGGCGTGGGGTCACCACCTGACCCTGGAGCCAGGGGCACCTCGCGCTCAATTTGAACCGGAACAAACCCCTCCTCCAGACCCGCTCCAGGCTCCAGCAGCAAAGCCCTGGTCAGCAGCGCTCTGGGCCACTCCGGTCCAGCACTGGTCTCCCGTTCGAGGCCAGGCATCCAGGATACATGGCAAAAGCCCTCTGAGCCTACCTTCAGGGCCGCCATGTCCTGCTTGAAATCCTCCTCGTACAGCCTGGCCAGAGCGGCAGGTGATATGTCCATCTGCGGAGGGACGGGGTCATCAGCCTGCAGGACCCGAGTGGGCTCTGCAGCCTGGAGGGAGCCCCAGTTGGGTACTGCCCCCACCAGAGAGGGCTACTAACCCTCTGGTATTAAACGTGCACCAGCACTGGGGATGCTGAGCAAGAGGATCCAAGCTCAAGGCCAACCTGGACGGCACAGCGAGTTCAAGGCCACCCTGAAGCACATGGAGACACCCTGTCTCAGAACAACACACACCACTACACCAAGGGCTTAGTGAGCCTGGAGGCTGCCACCTTGTCAGCTGGGGATGACAAAGAAATGGACACACTATGATTTCTGTTATACGATTTGTTTTGGTTTTTTGAGACAGGATCTTGCTCTGTAACTCAGGCTGGCCTTGAACGCACAGGAATCCTCCTGCATCAGCCTCCTGAGTGCTGGGAATACAGGCGTGCGCCACCACCCCTGGTAAGAATCTCTGCGAGTTTCCCAACGTCACACTTGGGTGGGTGGCTCCGTGTCCCCTGCGGCCCGGACAGCAGGGCTGGGGGCACATACTAGGGAAGGCTTCTGGGAACAGCCCCTGGCCTTCCGAGTCCCCAGGAGGCAGAGTGCCCTAACGGCCCTGCAGACTGGTAAGCACACAGAGGGAAAATTCACCAACATCCCTGGTGAAGGCGCAGACAGCGCCAGCACCACACCAGGCGGCGCCTGGGGTCCAGTTCTGGGGCGAGACAGACCTCTCAGTAAAAACTCCCGCTATGCCGCGGACGGAGGACGAGACCACAGAAGGCCCCAAGGACCGCGTCTTCCCGCCCCGCTGAGACGCGGCCACCCCTGCGCACGCGCACTCCCGCCTGAGCGCGCTTCTGCCCCGACCCGATCCCCCTGCAGGCCACAGGACGGAACCCTCCGGGAGACACGCGACACCACGCGGGCACACCCCGCGGCCCTGCCTCAGCCGCCGCCCGCGCCGCGGGGTCCCCTCCGGGGCTGCAGGAGGCCCCCGGCAGCCCCAGGCGCGCTCCCAGGCGCGCTCCGCTGTCGCCTCGCCCCTGCCTGGGCCGCGCCTCGGGGACACCAGGCGCGCTTCCCGGCCACAGCCAGACTCACGGTGTCACCCAGCACGCCCTCCGTAACACCTGAGGGTCCGCCCCCCTGGCACCGCGCCAGGCGGAGGCGCGGTCTGCCCGGTCACCCGGTGCCTCCCAGCTCACCCTGAGCCCCTGGGAAGCCCGGCGGCACCTCGCCTCCCGCACGAGCGACTGCGCGCAGTGCTCACCTCGCTGGCTCTCCGGATGATCTTATCGTCCACGTCGGTGATGCCCATCACCATGACGACGCTGCACCCGAACACCTTGGTCAGGAGCCTCCGGAGGATGTCAAATCTCACGTAGGAGCTGGAAGGAAAGGACGTCGGCGTCTTCGCACCCCAGCCGCCTGTGACCTGGGGAAAGCACACTGCCGCGGGGCTCCCGCGGCCCGGCCACACGGCGTGCGTGGCCCCTGGGTGGCATCAGTTTGAGGCGTGACAGTCGTGCTTTTAGTTGTAGAGCTGCTGAGTGACTTAACCTCTAGTTAAATGGGTAAAACCTCACTCGGGACACCATCTCCCTAGATGGTCACCCTGGTACACAGTCTGGAATAATTATCGTCTGTGACAACATGGGCAGAAGCAATAAACACCAGTCAGGACAAGCACACTCCCTCCCCTTGGACCTGCATCACATTACTGCAGAGGACACTGTGCTGCTCCGGAACACTGGAAATGAAAATTAAGAACGTCAGATGTGGTGGAGCACACCTCAACACTTGGGAGGCTGAGGCAGGAGGATCACCATGAGTCAGAGACCAGCCTGGGCTATACAGTGAGTTCCAAGGCCAGCCCGAACTACATAATGAGATCCTGTCTCAAAAAAAAAGAAAATAAAGAAAAAATATGGGATGAGACACCCCCAAATTTGTTTTTAGAATTTCCCCCTCAGTTCTTTTTATATGTAAGTAATTTTTTTCCAGTACTGTAGACTGAACCCATAGCCTTTGCACTGAGCAGCATCCCCAGCCCTATTTTTCTTTTTTAAATTTTGAGTTATCCAGGCTAGGCTCACATTTGCAACTGTCCTGCCTCAGCCTCCCAAGTGCTGAGGTTCCAAGTGTGTACCATCAACCCTGGGGTAACAAAAATGCGCCCCCCCAGCATACTTCAGTTTGTCAGTTGCCTGGGTAACACTTCCTGTTACAGCTCTCTTAGAAATGGCTGGTCACTGTGAGGCACATTGTATAAACCCATCTCCAATCGATAAGCTGTTCTGCCTCTGTACTTTCTGCTTGCTTATCCCATATAAGTGCTGGACCAATAGAGTTCTGGGCCTGATATTCTGGGAGTGATTCCGATCAGTGCCTGTCAACCATAAACAAATCTGCCTCCAAATCCTGGGTGTCGTTTCTGTGTTTCTTCTTGTCACTGCATCTGGTGTGTCGGCGGGAAGATCAACCATGTTGACCTCTTTGGTCACTGGTCATTGCCCTCTTGGACAGAGCAAGGACCTCTCTAGGTCCCAAAGAGCAATACATAAAATCACTCAATCCTGCCACGGACCTGCCCACAGAGCTGGGCCCGACAGACCATGACTGCCTGGCACCATTTGATAAACTTCTCGAGCCGATCAGACTTAAAAAATAACACCCCCCCCCAACAGATGCACGGTACACCCTGTTTACAGATGGAAGTAGCTCTGTTAGGACAGGTAGGTATGCTGTGGTCACCGTGGACAAAGTTATTTCGGCCAAAGCGCTCCTGCTACTGCTTCCTGCTGCTGTTTGAAAACCTGCCACCAGCGGTGTAGAGCCAGCCCTGCCCCCACCCAATGTCCTGAAAGCTCAAGCTGGGGCGCTGGCGCCTGCACCTCTGCCGCCAGCTCGGAACAGCTCGTCACCAGCTCCACAAGAGTTTAGTTAAATACCTGTAGACATCCCTGCACACACATATAACCCAGATCACATTAACTTCCTCTACAAGCTTCAGAAATCCAGCCTGATCTGCCGGAAAATTCACCTGAACGGCTCCTCCGGGGCTCATCTGAAGAGACAATGCACTCCGGGCCCGCTCTGTTCACTCCGGACGCTGACCAGTCCACGCAGGGCTGAGGCCCGACGACCTTGTCCACAGGACTGCTCCACACCTAGTCCCCTGGATTTGTCTATTCCGGCTGCTCACTCCAGCCCTTGCTTCCCGCCCCCTGCTAGCTGTGTTTTTTGCCTTAAACTCTCTGGACGGTCACCACCCCCAAATGGAACCATCAAGATTTGATGAGAACGACCAAGGTCTGATGAGGGCCCAAAGCACACGGGACACCCTCCTAGGTCAGATTAACTCCCTCACTGCCTTGCCAGAGTAATGTCAGAACAGACGGGCCTCAGTTATGCCTCTTCCTAAAAACAATTTAGGAAAAAACTCTAAGCCAGTCATGGGGAGCTTGGCTGGGGCCCATGCTAGGATCACCGACATCCCTAATGTTACAGCTTCTAGGTGGGCCTTGTCTCCGAAGACCACATGTAATGTGCCCAGCAAAGATTTGCCAGGTGGAAGCTAAAAGAGAGGGGAAGGCGAGGCGTGGTAGCACTCGCCTGTAATCCCAGCACTCGGGAGGCTGAGGCAGGAGGATCGTCGAGAGTTCAAGACCAGCCTGGGCTACAAAGTGAGCTCAAGGCCAGCCTGAACTGCACACTGAGACCTTGTCTCAAAAAAAAAAAAAAAAAAGAGGTGGGCTGGGAATTTAGCTCAGCAGCACAGTGCCTGCCTGGCAAGTGCGAGGTTGGGAGTTCCATTCCTGGTGTGGGGGGGTAATCCTGTCTCCCCAGTACACTTCAGTTTCTTAGTTGCCCAGGTAACAGTTCCTGCTCCAGTTCCAGCTGCTCCTGTCTCTTAGAAACGGCTGGTCACTATGATGCATATTGTATAAACCAGTGCCTAGTGGAAGCCATGCTGCCTCTGTACCTCCTACTTGCTCATCTCATATAAGCCCTGGACCCCCGAGATCGGGACCAGATATTCTGGGAGTGACCCCGGTCAGTGCCCCCCGATGTAAACAGATCTGCCTCCAAATCCCGGCTGTCAGCTTGGTTTCTGTTGCCGCTGCGTCGGGACAAATGTCTGACCCGGCTGAAATGAACTCCATCAGCCTCCAGCCCAGGAGACCAAGACCTGAGAAGCAGCTTGAAACACAGCCAAGGGGACGGGCCTGGTCCCAGCATCCGGCACGCCTCTTCCAACACACGCTGCAGCGCCGCACAGTGTCCCCAAGTCCTCTGGGACCGAGGTAGGACCAGGCCACTCGGGGAACGTGGCTCGGTGCACGGAGCACTCACAACAGATCAGTGCCCCGAAAAGAGCACCCTGAGACCCCAATCCATCACCTGAAGAAAGAGCATCGAGGTCCCACACTGGAGCACTACTCTGCCATAAAAAAGGGTGACCTCAAGCCCTCTATAGGAAAGTAGATGCACCCACGACCACGACCTTAAGCAAAATCAATCAGCCACAAGCTTCAGTATCACACCGTTTCTACAGAAACCCGAGTACAAGTACATTAAAGAGCAAAGTAAAAGACAGGTCATAGGAAACAGGGAGCTGGATTTCTGTAAACCAGAAGCAGGTGAGCCACGGGGGGCAGGGCGAAGGCAGAAGGGTCAGGTCCCGGCCGCTCGGCCTCACGCCCTGCACGTCTGTCCGGAGGGAAGCACCGCGGTGCAGGAGAAAGCCGCCCGCCTGCAGTGTGGGTCACAGGAAACCGACCGGACTGAGAACCCGGACAAATGCAAAGCTGCCCGCGAGCGAGGCTCCCGCCCCCGCCGGCCCACACACCTCACGGGCTCCCTCGCTGGCGCAAAGGCTGAGTCTGTCACAAAGTCGCTTCCCTTCGCAGCGACCTTTGTGGAGGGGGCTTTCTGGGTGAGAAGCAGGTCATGTCTTATATTTCAGACAGATGTCAAAATACAATTAGCCCAACGCAAAGGGGAAAAAATGATGTTTCAGTCGTTTTATTATCTTACAACATAATACAAAAAAGTTCAGATCACGTTTAATATGTAATATTTTAAAAAGCAGGAGTAAAAAAGTAATATAACTTTTTACTTTTAGTCTAAGTCTGAACAAAAAAAGGTGTACGATCACATGGAACACGAGGGAAATTGGAACTGTGGACAGATGGAAGCACAGCACCCTGGGTACGGCTGAGAGGCCAGAGGGGCACCCCGGTTCACTCCAGCTCACCCTTCCCAGGTGTGCCACCCGGGAGAGCTACCTTCTCAATAAAGGCTAATCTCTAGGAGGGTGTGGCGCCCCACACCAGTAATCCCAGGGCTCTGGGAGACTGAGGCAGGAGGGTCCCACCTTTGAGCCCAGCCTGGGCAATTTACTGTCTCAAAACGGAAAAGAAAAAAGGTTAAGGCCCACAGCAACCTCAGATGCCATGTGAAGCAGCACTTTACGGGCACTATTTCCTGTAACTGCTGTAAAGTTTTAAGACCATGACTTTTTTTTTTTTTGAGACAGGGTCTTGCCCAGGCTGACCTTGAACTCGCAGGGATACGCCTGCCTCAGCCACCGGAGTGCTGAGATGACAGGTGTGCACCCCCACGCTGGGCAAAACTATGACCCTATCACCACCCACCTCACCGCGGAAGAGATCAGGCCTCGGCCAGAAAGTGACTTGTCCAGGGGCTGGAAGCCCGGCTCCTCGCCCTGCACCAGCAGCGGGCAGCCCGCTGCCCCGAAAGGCCCCGGGCCCTGCGCACGCTGCCTCAGTTTCCCTCCTGCGGAACGGGCGCCAGGCAGCACGCGAGGCGCCCGCGGACCCGGACTCACCAGGCGTGGCCGAGGTGCGCGTGGTCGTACACGGTGGGGCCGCAGCTGTACCTGGGGACGGAGGAGACACGCGCGTGAGGCCCGGGCGGGGCCGGCCCCGCCG